CGGTGGTGGGAGTGGGTGTGCTGGTGCTGGGAGGCCGGCGTGCGCATTGGCGTCCGGATGGACGCCTGCGAGCTCATCTGTGTCGCGCGTGAGTCATCCTGCAGTGAACGAGACAACAATGGGGTGACGGAGTGAGGTATGGGAGAGGGGGGTCAGCGGAGAGAAAGCACGGGTGCATGCAAGCACAGAGAGAAAACGAAGGAAGGAAGGAAGGAATGAAGCAAGCACGGGAGGAGAAAACACACACACACACACACACACACACACACACACACACACACACACACACACACACACACACACACACACACACACACACACACACACACACACACACACGACAGCATCTACGGTAAACAGACGTGACGTGTTCACGCACACACACACTATCCCCAGTACTTACGGCGAGCATGTTGAAGAACTTGGGGTTGCCTGTGAAGTGAGCGGCCGAGGTGGGCCTGAACATGGGGTCAAGCTCAATGCAGTTGTTTGACAGCTGCTCCAACGGCACGCGTTTCTGCATTTGGGGGAAGAGTTGGAGATGCAAGTGGGATGATGAGAACCGGTCAGTCAACATGGGGGAACATCCTTAACAGCAGTGCTCATCACCAAGCACAACATGGCACCGCCTCTTTGCTCGATGCGTCAACGAAAACAGCAGCAGCAGAAGCAGAAGCAGAAGCAGAAGCAGCAGGTACTCACCGCAATGGGGTCAAAGTCTGGACGGATCAGCGGTGACGGAAAGAGGTACATCAGCTCCTTTCGCACTGCGTCTACTGTGATGAGATCCCGGTAGTTTGGCGGTACGGGACCAGGGTACAGCAGCCTGCCAAATTGTGTGCGTGCGTGTAAGTGTGAGTGGCGCCACGAACCCACACGCATGCACATGCATGCACACGCATGCACACGCACACGCACAGACGTACATCCGCACACTTGCACATGCACACAAGCACGCCCACCCCCCCCCCACTGACCGGTAGAGGTGACGAAAGTCCTGGATGTGTTCGAGGTTGGTGCCCTTGAGCACCTCCTTAATCTCGTCGTGGACGATGTTGCTCTGGTTCGGCTCAACCACCTTCCGTCGTGGAAACTGTGTGGGTCGCGCAGAGCACACGCTACGCACGGCCTGCACCACCGCGCTGCCCCGAGATGCTGCCCGCGACACTGAGGCCATCGCAACAACAGTGCCCCTCTGCCTTGCCACCTGCCACACCATCTCCGAGTCTGCCTTGCTGCTATCTCTGCTGCTGTGCGTGCGAAGTGTGCAAATAGCAATTTTGCCTTTTCGCCATCCATCAAAGTCAATTTTGCCTTTGCAGTAAGTAACAGTGGGCGGATATGGAGCTGGCGAAGCGGCAACAGGTGAAGGTGGTGGAGGCCGTCGCGTCCGTGCTGGCGGGCTGCGACTTTGTGTGGGTCAGCCAAGTGGTGAAAACCGCCCGCGTGCCCATCGCCAAGCTCATCGACAAGAAGACGTGAGTGTGTTTGTTTGGTTGTTTGTGTACTTGTGTGTGTGTGTGGGGGGGGGGAGCATTCATGTTTATTTGTTTGTGTGTCACGTTTGTTTTGTTTGTTTGTGCACGACACGACTCGTGTGTCCGCTGCTGACAACGTGCGCGTTGTCAATTGATAACAACAACAGGGGCACTGAAGTGGACGTCAACTGCGCCAACGTCTTGGTAAGGGAATGGAAGACGTTGATCATCGCCCGTCACGTTTTGCGTTGTTGCTGCTCGCGATCCATTAGCGGACAACAAGTGTAACATGAACCCACACAACGCACACCCACACGCACACGCACGCACGCCTGCAGGGCTTGGTCAACACGCGTCTGATCCGCACCTACACTAAAGTGGACGATCGATTCAGACATCTTGGGTACGTGTGTGTGTGTCTGTGTCTGTCTGTGTGTGTGTGTGTGGTGTCTATGTGTGTATGTGTGCGTGCGTGCGTGTGTGTGTCTGTGTCTGTGGATGGCATGTCGTGTCGCTCAAACTGACTGACACACACTGTGTGTATCTCCACGGACAGGTTCTTGGTGAAGCTGTGGGCCAAGGCGTGCAATCTGAACGATGCATCGATGGGCACGCTGTCGTCTTATGCGTGGCTCATCATGACAATTCACTACCTGCAACGATGTGACCCACCTGTGCTTCCAAACCTCCAAGACGTAAGGGAGAAGAGGGAGAAGGAGAAAGTGGAAGGAGGGAGAGGATGGACAGGACTCTGTGTGTGTGTGTGTGTGTGTGTGAGTGTGTGTGTGTGTGTGTGTGTGTGTGTGTGTGTGTGTGTGTGTGTGTGTGTGTGTGTGTGTGTCGTGTACTTTCGTGCATGCGAACATGACGCAATTTTGGTTCGTCCTCATTGCCATGTGCCATTAACTGCAGCGTCGGATCAAAGGCCCGCCGCGCCGATATCACGGCTTTGACTGCGCCTACTGTTCAGACCTCTCCAAGCTGCAAGAGGTATGTGTGTCTGTCTGTCTCTGTGTGCGTGTGTGTGTGTCTGTCTGTCTGTCTGTCTGTCTGTCTGTCTGTCTGTCTGTCTATCTGCGTGTGTCTGTCTGTGTGTGTGTCTGTGTGTATCACCAGCAATGTGGTGGCGCGTTCATTTCATCGTTCATCTGCCTACGTTACACCACCACTCCAACCATGCAATCCCTTTCCATCCACTTTTGTCCAACCCCGCGCACCATGGCGAGTACAGGTGTGGAAGTCGCGCAACACCCAGTCCATCGGGGAGCTGTACTACGGGTTCTTCGACTACTACTGCGGGTTCGACTTTGACCGTGACATCATCACGTGCCACACCACCAAGCGCAAACCAAAAGCCGCAGAGAAGAGGTGGTCACGAAACTACGCCGCCCGACCCATGGCCATCCAAGGTTTGTGTGTGTGTGTGTGTGTGTGTGTGTGTGTGTGTGTGTGTGTGTGTGTGTGTGTGTGTGTGTGTGTGTGTGTGTGTGTGTGTGTGTGTGTGTGTGTGCAAGTAACTTGACCTCGATTGCCTGCTTGTGCTCAATATTCATGCTTCTTTCATTTTGCATTTCGACAGATCCCATTGAGAAGTCGCACAACTTGGGCAAAGGCATTTCACGGCTAGGTCCGCTGCTGCTGCTGCTGCTGCTGCTATTGTTGCTGCTATTGTTGCTGTTGTTGCTGTTGTTGCTGTTGTTGTTGCTATTGTTGTTGTTGTTGCTCATCCTTCATCTTGCTGTTTTAGGTGTCGCTGTCGCCCACCAAGTGTGCAAGACTCCAATAGCTACTCCCTCACCCTCCCTTGCCACCGACTTCTTCCATCTCACCCCCTCTCCATCCCCCTCCCCTGCATCCTCGCTGCAGTGCTTGATCAGATTGT